AGTGATTGTGCATACAACTGCTGTGGCTTTTATGCATGAAATTTTCATTTTCACAACTTTCTCAGTTTTTTGTGTTTTTCTCAAATACAAATTTTTGCATGTTTTGAATTTTGGGATGAGCACTGCGTCGCTAGCACTGATTCGATTTTCTTGATCTTTTTTTTATTTGAATGCTAGGGTATTGAAGTGTGCAAGAAAACCTTGTTAAAACGTTTAAGGACATTGTAAAATTTTGAAATTTTCCAGAAATCACCAGTGAAAATTCAGAGCTAAGAGACTGCAACATGAAAACTTCATAACTTTGGGTAAAATTTAGATACCAGCATGAAATTGCATATTTGCACTATTTGAATATTCAGCGATATACAGGTTCAATTATAGATCTTTTGATGCAATACTTTTTATGCAAGTCACACCCCGAATTCATAAAATAAGAATAGTTATAACTTTTTTTTTTGGATTGATGTAAATAAAATGTAATAACATATTTTCAATCAGGGTACAATCAGTGTACAAAGCTGAATATTCCCTGAAACAGTTATGTCTCTAGGCCCAATACTAATATATTTCACTATTGGGTCTCATGTCCCCCCTTATACCACTGACTCAATGCGCAATGCGCTAGTTGTTTTCATGCCTGGTGCAATCGCACACCTTTGCTATATTATACGTGTTGAGGAGACTCCTTCGTCAACATGACGCCCATAAGACGTTCTTTTCAGAACCAATTTCAAGCAGTGGCATGGCTTTGTCGTAGATTTTTTGCAGCTAAACTGCAAAAATGGTAGACAATGGATGAGGGGACGAGGACAAGCGCTAACTTCCAACTAAAATTTTATTGCGAAGCACCAAGATTGTATACCTGTCACAAGACATCATAGTCCCATCAATCAATGCACTAGGATGAAGACAAACAAGAAGTAAGCAGAAGGGAATTTAAATAAAAAGACTACTTGCCGGTGAATTCAAGGAATCTAGTTCTTTTTTTGTTAGTGCAATGAAAGGATAGCTGATGCAGCTTCGATGTTTTATTGAGAAGCCTAGTACTATTATTAGGGTGTGTAGCCAACCGCCCCAACACAGTTCTATCAAATACCAACATGCATTGGCACTCTGTGTAATGAATTGCCAGGAAACCGTCAGAGCCCTTTCTTACTTTCTGGTTATGTTCAAGTAAATGCACATTGAGGCATCTGCCTGACTGTCCGACGTAACTTTGACCGCACGTCAAATGTATGTCATATACTGCATTCTTCGCACATTGAACAAATTCGTTCTCGTGCTTACCTTTACACTCACTCAGTTGTTGCAGTTTTGTGCAAGATTTGATTGATTGATATGTGGGGCTTAACGTCCCAAAACCACTATACAATTATGAGAGACGCCGTAGTGGAGGGCTCCGGAAATTTCAACCACCTGGCGTTCTTTAACGTGCACCCATATCTGAGCACACGGGCCTACAACATTTCCGCCTCCATCAGAAATGCAGCCGCCATAGCCTGGATTCGATCCCGTGACCTGCGGGTCAGCAGCCTTAGCCACTATACCACAGCGGCGGGGCTTTGTGCAAGAACTACACAAATGCAGCCGCCATAGCCTGGATTCGACCCCGTGACCTGCGGGTGAGCAGCCTTAGCCACTAGACCACAGCGGCGGGGCTTTGTGCAAGAGCTAGTCCTGTAATAATGCCTCCTATCGAGTATAAAATTAAGCACCAGAACGAATTGACCTGCGGTCAAAATTACGTCAAACAGTCAGGCAGATGGCTCAGTGTGCATTTACTTGAACATAACTAGGAAGTAAAAGAGGACTCTGACAGTTTCCTGGCGACTCATTGCGCAGAATGCAAATGCAAGCCACTATTTAACAAAACAACTGTGTTGGCTACTCACTCTAACGATAGTGCTAATGTGGTTGCTTGGGCGAGTTGATACGCATTATTCACATAGAAAACTAGTACTAGGCTCATAACTGAGGCGGCAGTGACAGTAAATTGAAGCTGCGTCAGCTAGCCTTCCATTGCACTAACGAGAAAAGAACTAGATTCCTTAAATTCACTGCCAAGTAGTTTTTCTACTGTAAGAATGACGGTGCCGCTGGGGCTCGGGCATACTCGCGATTAGAGGCAGAGCAAGAAAAAGACAGATAAATAACAGCCGGCCTACAGCAAAGGCGTTGTCTCTTTGTCTCATTCCTTTACAATGGCGCAGTCGATGAAACCGAAGTATTACGTATCCGATTCCTCATCCATGGGATCCCCCAGTGAGCAATCGCAGTAAGCCGATCTTGACGACGGCGTCAGGGCCTTCTTGGTGCCTGCTCACCAGCCACCTCAGCCACCACCGTTCGGGGACGGCATCTAGGCCTCCTCGGCAAATCTGCCCCACTGCTGCCATACCCGTTCACAAGGGATGCCGTCCACGCGTCCCCAACTCTGACCTGACTTCCTGAGGCCGTGTTACTTACTTCCTCGCTGATGTACCCCGCCAGGCAACCGGCGCGGCAAGTATCAATCCCACCAGCAGCGGACAGCGTCCATGCCTCCACTGTGGTTTCGGGGAACTTGTCCGACGACACATCACTTCGTGCCAACAATGTGCATGGGCTCATCTTGTCTAGGGACGACGAGTATGCCTTCTCGTCACCTGTTAACCTCTCGGCGCTTCAAGCATCCTCCGTTGACAGTATCCGGGCCTCCTTGGTGGCTCAACATCGCTTCATGAATGCCGTGATGCCAGTGCACAAGACAGCACACAGGTTCTGCTCACCTAGGACCATCGTTGACAGTTGTAGCCGTGTCTCTCCAACTGGATCAGCCGACAGCGCCACGGAGCTACAGCACATCACTGCGCAACTCCGTGTCACGAATAGCGCCCTAATAGCATCGAGCTTCCAGTTTGCACCTGTAGCCTTGCCCAAATTGTACGCCATCGATGCCAAGATGTGTGTAGCCGCCGCACATGACTTTCAGGCAATCTCAACCGAGAACTACCGCAAGCTCCAGCGTTCTCTCACGAAGCTCTCAGAGCAACTGGGCAGCTTGGCGCAGGCACAATCCGGATTCTCGCCCGCCGTCCTGCCATCGCCGTCTATTTGGGCGATACCAGAGTTTCATGGTTTTCAAGATGACTTGTTCGAGTGGATTGAGACAGTCAACTTGCTCGGCCCTTTTTGCCTGGCCGGAAGACTGAAAATGGGCACTTGCCTTCCATCGATAGCCTTCGCGGTGGCTAGGAAGGCCTCCAGCAACGATCTGGGTCGAAATAGTGTGAAAAGTTGACTAGCCTTTTTTCACCCACTTTTCGACTCCGGTGACCACATGCCTGCCAGTGGAGTGTCTACCACACATGGCATTTGCGAACCATATCCTATCGAAGCTACAGTTTGGGCATTCGTCAACCCGCCCTTCATCACGTGTCGAACTCATCAAGGACACCGCTTTGACGACCCATCGGTGTTCTCGAGACCTATAGCAGACAGTCCCTCTGGCAGATCTACTCAAGACGTCAAAAGCATGTGCACTTCGCCACGTGTCGCCCTCTCTGAGTCTATACCAGACGTCATTACATCGCTAAGGGAGGTCAAGACCACTTGTCATCCAGAGTTGAAGAGCGGGTCACAGATTTGCCATTGCAAGAACACGTGCAGATGTCAGCTCCTCTCATGCTTGGCAAGCCTCCAGTGCCAAAAGAGCCCATCGATTCCAATGTCGTGCTCCCCAACTCACTAGAGTGCACCGTCTGCGATGAGCCGCCATTGTGCAGAGAAGTCCTCTGAGACAAGCGCAGTAATGTTATATCGTCGCTAATTGAGCCGTCCATTGACATGCCATCTTTATCGAAATCATTCATAATGAATGCTGCACTTAACGTGCCACAAAGAACCCCTCCAGAGCTGTTGGACAACGATAAAGAAGGGGAAAGGCCTCATTGTTCTGGTAATGACCGCAATTCGAACACAACTGACTTCAAGAAATACGCAGGAAAGACACACCGAGGAAACATGCTGATGTGACTAGTCCCTCAAGTGCTGTCCTGGCCTCCTCATTTTGATATGCCATGAGCCCCGTTTCCTTCGCAACCGAGTCGATGCCTGCTGCAAGATCGATAGCTGCCAGCTGACATGACGTTGCTGCGTGGCTGAGGTCGAGCACCGCCACACAGCCAATGTCGCTGCCCAGAATGTTCGGCAGCGATGCAAGCAAAGTCACAGCAAAACGGAGACCTGCAGCGACCATCCCGACAAAGCCAGTGCCGCCCCCGAGAAAGTTCAGCAGCTCGGCAAGGTGATTCACAGTGCACACTAGATAGCCCACTGCAGCACAGTCAGTGCCACCCTCAAGAGACAAATTCGGCAGCTGGTCATAAAAGGTCGCAGTCATGGCCGAATGTAAGGATGACAAAGTGGCTGGGGCTCAGGCACAAGCTTATTTGCGATTAGAGGCAGAGGAAGGAGAGGACAGATAAGGAACAGCCGGCCCATATCAAAGGCGTTGTCTCTTTGTTTTATTCCTCTACACTACGTAAAATTCCCGGCTGCTTAGTTTTAGTTTGTCTTCACCCTAGTGCATTGATTGAAGTGACAGTGATGCCATTTGACAGGTATACAACCTTAGTGTTTGGAATAAAATTTAAGTTGAAACTTTGCGCTTGTCCTTGCTATTCCCTTCGTTCGTTGTCTATCTTTTTTTTGTGCTTCAGCAATGAAAATATGTAATACCAACTAGCTCGCTCCCACACCTTGCTTCTGTAATAGAACACCTTATTGACACGCAGAGGGGCTGGGCTGGATTCCCATGTGAACATTTTTATTAATCATTTATTTATTTGCATCTACATAAAATTTTCTCTCACAGACAATGCTGATTTTTCCCTCCCAACCAATGATGCTACCACCAGTGCTGACGCCGACACTGAAATTTCTGAGAAACAAAAGAGCTCTGCAGCCCAGGTGGGTGTCATTATTAAGGTCAACTGGAAAAAACATTATTGTACACTCACCAGTTTCTGCCCACTGCTTGTGTGGTAGTAGACGTCTGCCAGTATACGGCCACTGTTCGGCATACCAAGGTTAGAAGCCCTCATAACTACTTCCCTCAGGAAGCCTGTGGCAAGAGTAAGACAGAAAGGCTAGTCTTCAGCAGACTACAAGAAAGTCAAGAACCACTGAGTACTCATCTGTGGCGTGCATCTTATGGAAGCAATTAATATATTTCCCAACTTTTAGAAAAGAAGGATAAGTGAGCATAAATAGTGCAAAATGTTTACAATATAATTTTTGTTCATACTGAGGTAAACTCATAATGTCAGACAAGAACCTGTCAACAGTTCCATTATAATGTAACACTGCATAACTCTCCTGCGATGCACCAATCGCTGTTATCTAAGAGATGTAAGTGAAACAAAATATAAGTTTCGTAAAGCATTTTGTTGTGTAAGAAAGTGCACAACTTGGAAAGTAAAAAACACTGGTGCAAAAGAGATGTGAATATAAGACAAGCACTAACTTTTGTTTTTCGCTTATTCTGAAACTATAACATTTACAACGAGGTAAGAGATGAATATCGCATACCATCTAACAATTAGGTTACCATAAAGGCCACCAAGATCTCAAACACTACACAAGGTTCCTACTCATTTGCATGACAAATACGCAAAGGTTTGCAAGGAACTTCAAGACTATGCATGTGAATTTTTGAGGACTACAGTGTCTGTTAAAAAAACAATGAACACATGCTAAGGGGAGGATGGATGCTTGAAATAACTACACGTCTTCTCGCTTGCTTTATTACAAGTGCCAGTTAAAATAATCAGCATAACATTCAAATAATCAATGCCAAGCTATTTATTCCCTTTGCCAAACATTCAATCCAAGTGCCAAAATATTTAATTCGAGCACCAAGACAATAAGCCGCATTCCAGTGAGTTTAATTAATCCAATTGCCAACAGCTTTGATACAAGTGCCACTTAGTGTAATCCATGCACAAGAAACACATGGTTTGCCACTTTATAAAGCCTAAATGTTGGAATAATGTAAAAATGAAGAGACATGAACTTTTCACTCGCTTATACATGCTAAGGATTATGAAAGAAGGAGCAGCACTATTTTCCCCTAACATTTGGTGTCACAGCTCAAAATCAAAAACAACAGTGTATAATAAATACACTTACGAGTACTAAATGTATTCACTCATAACTCATGTTGGTTTATGCTTCATCCCTACTGCATTATTTCAGCTAATCATATACACCACTGATTGCATAAGGTAGAAACTCACGTCTTCTGCTCAGTAGACGGCATTTACCTACTTCTTCACAGAGGCATTCGCATTCGTCTGCTCAGCCTACTGAGAACGATGGTGAACGACAAATGATATTCATCCGTTCTTGAAATCAGAAATAACCATTTAAACAACTAACATTGCCTTTATTTGGGTTCATGGGGAATTAAGTTTTTTATAAAGCCATCAAAAAGTGCTCCTGTTTTCATGTACAAGACAATACTAATATTGCTAAAGCGTGTCTGTCTGAACACGCATATTTTCAGAGGGGAATATTTGCAGATAACAAGAGAAGTTTTCTTGATGTCATGGCTGGGCACAAATCAAGACCACACTTTAAAGGGCCAGTCAACAGGCTCTGATTTCTTTTTACACCCCCCAAACAAGCTCGGGAATTCGTAGAGTGTATTGCAGTGGTCACGTATCCTCAGTATTAAACAGCTGCGCGCCGCTCAGAGCCTCTATTTTGAAAAACAATTCATGCGCTTGTTTCCTACGCCTGACCAATGCTCCTTCCACGTGCAGTGACGCCAACTTGGAGATTGGCGACGTGACGCTGGCACGCAGCTCACTGATTGGTCTAAACCAAGCCTCGACAAACATTAGTGACAGTTCCTGTTCCCCCCCCCCCCAGCTACGACAGAGCTATTTAATCATACGAGTTGCAAAACTTCCTTTAGGCTCCATGTATCGAAGTACAGACACGTCACTGGCCCAGTTTTTGGGAGTGAGCAGAGTGTCGCGCCACCTGTTGACATGCACATCTAGTATTAAAAGCATTATTTGTGTCTTGTGTTACTGCTCTCAGATGGCGCGACATTCTCCTCCCGAAAAAACGGGCCAACTTCACGTCCAGGTTTTGGAACGCAGTTTTGCTGCAAATCGTTGGCTGCAAATCGAGCGACTGGGCTGGGGTGAAGCATCGGCACCGGGTAACAGTAAACAACCAGGCATCGCAGCAAGCGGAGGTGCGTTGCCACTGATGAAGTTTGCCTAGGACGTCAATTGCTGACGTCTAGTCACGTTGACAAAGTAGGCGAAGTCATGAGGATGGGCTACCCCTCCTTCTTTCCTCTGAAGGGGAAGGTTGGCGAGGCCGCGTGAAAATCTGAAACCAGCTGAAAGCGATTGATTGATTGATATGTAGGGTTTAACGTCCCAAAACCACCATATGATTATGAGAGACGCCGTAGCTCCGGAAGTTTTGACCACCTGGGGTTCTTTAACGTGCGCCCAAGTATGAGCACACGGGCCTACAACATTTCCGCCTCCATCGGAAATGCAGCCGCCGCAGCCGGGATTCGATCCCGCGATCTGTGGGTCAGCAGCCGTTTACCTTAGCCACTACACCACCGTGGCGGGGCCAGCTGAAAGCGATGCTCAAGCCCCTCTAACTTCCATAATATAGCACAGGTTCGCTAAATTCTTGCGGCAGCATTTTCATGAAGTAAAGTGCACATATTTCTATCAATTACAGTTTTAGGACCTTGAGGTTGCTTACTGGCCCCTTAAGGAAACAGACCAACTTCGTCAAAAATACAGCAGAGTATCGGTGGTCGACAGAGCTATAATTGTGGACGTCTACAGGTGTGGTGGCGACCTTAAGAAACTGGCCGACGCACTAGGCATGAACATAAAAACAGCAAGACTAATTCGCACTATCAACAGAAAAGCATCAAAGCATGGTGGTTGTTCATAAAGGAAGTTTGGAGATGACGTGAGTACTTTGAGACGAATCGTCGACGAAAACTGTACATTTACAATAAGGCAGATAAAGGTGGCTCTGGAGGAAGAAACGCCAAGAGTAAGAGTCAGTGCAAGCACAGCTGATCGCTTGCTAGATGCCCACAGCTACTTGGTGAAGCTGGTGACGCAGATGGAGACCCACAGACTGCAATCGCGACAATATGTGATGTTTATTGGCGCAGGTGCCATTTTATGGCCAAAGAGTGCCAATGCATGGTTAAGAGTGTGAACAATGGTTATGTTAAGCGGCTGTATAGAGGCCTAAAATTTTTCGCCCTCTAGGTGGGTAAGAAATATACTGTATTTACTTGTGTATTGAACCCACCTTTTTTTCAGAAAAGTTGATGCGAATTTGGGGGAAAGGTTCATTACGCAGAAGAAAAAAGAGTTACGGAAGTTAAAATTTTTTCACGTGACGGCTTTGCTTGTTTTTACTTGAGAAATGCATGACAAATTTTTTTTGTAGCCAAAAGCTTTATTTTGTTTCATCCCATAACGAAAGCGTACAAATCGACACTGAATTGTCGTCCAGCCACTCGGTTTCCATGCTACAGTGCATGCTGTTCGTAAGTTTCATAATCCACCGTGTAGCTAGCGTACCAGACGAATGCGCCCTACACAGCAGGTGTCCCAAAAAATTTCACAATGACAAACCCGAGAACAAAAACACACCGTCGGATAATGGCAGATAAACGTTGCGGTAGATGTTGCAGATGCACGGCGCGTCCTCGTTGCTATTGTGCTTCGCATGGCCTCTGAGATGGCGGGCCCACGGCGTGTTTCCGCGCGCTCACTATTTCGAAAGCCATGTGCTTTGTTTTTGTGCCGCTATGCTTGTGTGGCACTATCCGCAAAGAGGTTTCTTCTTCATTCGACTGATGGCGCTTAGCCGCAGAAGGCACGACTTTCAAATTTTGTTTAACGTCGTCTGCGCTCGCACTGCTTCGCAACTGTTTAGCATGGTTGCCAAACAATGTTCTGGCTCTTGCTGCGCTGTTCTTTTGTGATATAATGGCTTGATTAAACATTGTTTCAATGGTCAATGGCACTGGCTATCATACCGAAATAAAATGAGCAGATACTTTAGATAGATAAGAACCAAGGTGGGGGATGGGTTCATTATGCAAGTGGGTTCAATACGCGAGTAAGTATGGTAAGTATTAAAATAATGAGAATGACATAGAATGTGTGCATTGCAAATGAGCAAAGAACGGTTGTGATAATTGAATCATGAAGAGATGGGCAATAGTACGGTTGCCTCCTTAAAGTGTTTGTGGCCAAAGGCAGAGAGGCCAGTGCTTCATATAACGTAGCCACCGCAATAGCAACCTCTGTTCAGAGGTGATGCTGCGGATGATAACCAGAGTACATAACGTGAAACCAATGAATATCGTTTAAAAACGAGCAGAGTGAATTGAGTTAAAAAGTGGAGCTTTAGAAATGAACAACATTGCTGGATAAAGAGGCATTTGCTCTCGGTGCAGTAATGGAAAATGCTTTTTTCTGGTTGAGTCTAGTTCACTGTATTGTATCAAAATATAAAGCACGACCAGTGGTTTCCCACATTTCTCACAGATTGGTAGATTATCCCTGGACAGAAGGTATGAATGTGTACTGTAAGTGCATCCAACTCTAAGCCTTATAAGTGTAACTTCTGTGTGGCGCGAGTTGCAGCTTGGTAACGTGTAGTTTATTTTTTGTGTGTGTATCCTATGTGCTCTGTCAATAAGCTCAGAGCTTTCGTCTAAGGAAAGGTTTGAAGTCAAGCACATGGATAACTACGACCATATTGGTGGCATTTTCATTGGCGGATGCAGCTAGCTGGTCCGCCAACATGTTTCCTTGTATCTTCCGATGCCCTGGCACCAAGCACACAACGACATGTTTTGAAGTGTGCAAACTGCACACAGAAAAAGGGCAAGGTTTTTGTGTCTTTTCTGGGTTTTGAGGGCTTTTACAATGCTCAGGGAGTCTGTGTATATTACTGCACTTAGTAAATTTAGTTGTTTTATATGTTTTACGGTTGCAAGTATCACATAAGTTTCTGCTGTGAAGATGCTAGAGTTAGGATGCAGAA